TTACTTAATTAAAATACTTGAATATACGAGTCATATCACAAAATCACAAGTCCATTGCAGTACATAGACTTCGCCCAAGTGAAGTCACAAGGTACGGTCCTGAGCCACCTTCGTCTATCGACTAGAGTGAAGGTCTGGTAAGAGATGAAGGTTTTTTTTTACCAAGTCTCCTTCCATCAGTGAGGTCGCCGAACACTTCGCCCACGGGTCCACGGGGGCCACAAGCTGTTACTCGAAATCTGGACTCTGATAGCTATCATATAACTACTTTACAAACACTTCACTTCGATATACCGACGGTCAATTTGGCACCGGTGAAGGAACTATGACAATTCAACGGAATCTACAGCTTTCTCGTAGTCCACTTATCGACGACTGACGACTGAAAGACAGTGTCAATTTGTATTTTTCTTTTATTCGTACAATTTGCTGTAGGGTATGTATGTGGTATATGGAAGCCAAGATACGAAAAAGTAAAACTTTTTCGTATCTTGGCTTGTTTAGGAATCTAGAAGTCTTCAAGTCGGCGTACAAAACGTAATCTACTAGAAAACAGCAGTTCAGTAGTTCTTTAATAGAGCGTCGTCACCTTGTTTTGAAGGACAAGATCGCCGTTTTTCTGCTTTATGTCTCTGGAATTGTGCCACCATTGACACCAATGCAGGAATTGAAGAGCTTCAGAAGGAAGCCTGCTTCGCTTTTAGAAGCTCCGCTGTAATGCTATCCTCGCGCGGGACCTTGCTGTTACAGAGCGGAAGAGCTATTCCAAGTGTGCGTAAGTATTACATAACTTAATTCCTCACTCCCTTTCCACCATCAGGCAATCAGGCGATCGGCGGGTCTTTACCCCTTTGTTGTCGATCTTTCACGCATTCGAATCAAATGGTTTGCTTCCTACGTAATGCGTTCAGCAATGAAGTGAAATAATCTGTCTTTCGTCCGATTACAATCTGGGTTTCTTCAAGGCAAGAGTACTCGTAAACGACTGGGCTTGTGCTACGCTAAGACAGTTCGATTTAACATCTAGGGCTTTATCACCACTTACCACCATTTAGCATAATATTCAAGTGCTGCACAAAGCACTTAAATTAAGTAAAGTACTGGAAAAATAATATATTACAATATAATTGAGAAATAAAACAAATATTTTTAAAGCTCTTTCTGAAAATATATCAGAAACTTACGATATTATTGACATTGCAGGTCATCGATAGTTTTAGGTTTCAACTGTCAAAATTTTTTTGTAAACCATAGTTTAAGTCTGAGATTATCAATAAATTACATTTCGTAATAGAAACGATATAGTTTATTTATTATATAGTATAAAGGAAATCTAGAATGCCTATGCGCCTCTATTTCGACGTTACACTGTGCTACCCGAATAGTGGAGAATCATTTCAATCAACATTTAACGAAGCATTTGAGACGAATCGGATGACTTCTCTAATGAAGAATGCACACTCATATTCATGTGACTTAGGCTAAAACGTGACGTTTACATTTTAGTTTAAATGTTAGGTCAACTGATCCAACACGAATAGTGCAACACACGCACCAATTTTAAGTCTATATGACTAAGTCTCGCCGTTCATATAAAGCGATGTGGAGCATTGACCCCGGGTTATAGATAAGTGTTGCCATTTATTTGCACTTAGCTTTAAACATTCGCCGCTGTTCGTATACGTACTGCTTCCAGACACTGCCTTCAGTGACCGAACAATTGGATTTTCTACTGTTATGATCTGTCGTAAACGGTTCGATGGAAGTGAAAATTTGTTCCGACTGATTGCTCTTTCGTCACATAGTTAGATGTTTTGTATTGATTTCAAAATAAAACGAAGGGTGAAGATAATTCTGTCGTGAAGGAATGGTCTGTGTGTTGATGGCGTAAAAGAATTCATCAGTCGATCTCGTCCTTTGGGTACAGTAGAGTAGACCGTACAAAATGCTAGGAACATCGCATGGCTGCTGCTGTATGAATACATCGGGTATTCAGGCAAAAACATATCAGATGGCAGATGTACATACGAAAATCAGCCTGCTTCTTAGCGGAGCCCAAGCTATAGGGCATTTTTTTACTATGGAAAGACTCACGCCTAGCAGTACCCTGTTTACGGACTGATGGCTGTTCATGATTACATCGTTAATCTAATGGTCGCAAGTGCAACTGCTTGCTGAACACTTGTATAACCCCTTTTACAAGGCAATCACGTGAAGCGTTGGTCCTGCGCCCGACTTGTTGAGTTACCGCCCCACCGTACTATGAGAGTAAGTAGATAGTGCACCTGTGCTTGCGCACACAATATAACCCGTCCTGCGCAGACGGCTAGTAGTTAGTTAGTAGATTTAGATTCGATCTGGAAGTCTATATTATTATTGCGAGCTAATGAAGAAGTAGAATCCAGGAATCAGCTTTAATACAAATCAGTCACCATATCAGCGTAGATTATCATACTAGAAAGTAGAAATAATGACAGTTATTTACATTTCCTCAAATCCTGGCGTACCATTGCAAGCTTTGCCCAAAGTACAAGACCTCAAGTCCTAAAGTAGTCATTAAATATTGAAAACTCTGAAATCCAAGTATGTAAATTTAAAAGTCTCCAAGTTGAATTGTAAGGTTTTACAAAGGTCTAGCATGTGGGTGAACGCATTATATACGTAAATATACTTACAGAATATATAAAGCATTTGCATTTATTGTGATTACATGACCAAAAAGATTATAAAAACAAATGTTTTCGTTGAATGTTGATGGATTACGAAATATTGGAGATTTAGTCGATGGTAGAGTACTCTAAGCACTTTCCAGTGTGTATGGTGTAAACACTCATAACTTGGTTCCCTGAAATTCGTTAGAGCAAACAAAATACTCCGGGCTATAACATTACTGCTGTATAACTTCACTGTCCGCGCTGTACGGTAAATTGCTTCGTCTTAAATTGCTTTAAGCCACTAGGATGAGAGTGGGAATGGAATATAACTTTTGAAAATAATGTTATTAGTGTTAATTGTAGTAACCTATAAGAGTAATTTTTACATCTCTCTATCGTATCGCTTAAGTTATTTGCTTATTCGTGTAATATGTATATATATTATGGTTGTAGCGCATACAGGTCGGCTCTACCAGGTAGGACACGCTCTCACTGAATACCAACGTAAATTAGCAGCTTCTTGGTGCTGTGTTTCGTATGGTGAGTGTAGATAACCGGATACCCTTTTTACTAAAAACGATGCGTTCCATCTCAGTCCTCAGGGGTCACAACACATCTGCATTTTCATTCTTAAATGAGTAGCCAATGTATTCAAAAGAAGGAGGAATTTCTCAATTCGACTTATGCCTTTTATGTATGTTATATTAAGTAAGATTTTTAAGGTTACAATATACATTAGTAGTAGTATCTTTTAAATTTACATTAATTATATAAAAGACTAGCGATCCGCCTCGGCTTCGCACGGGTGATTTCTGGGTCTCGACAACAGCGCCGCCTACCAGGACCAACTGAGTTGTTAAACCATCTAGGAGCCCACTCAAATACACACAACAACATTCGTCAACATCGATCCAGCCAGTTTCGAGTTTCAGCGAGACTAACTGACTGCAATTCATTTTTATTTATTTTATGATGCAGACATGTATTTGTCATTTACTTTCATAAATTTCTGGTCTTCGATTAGTTATGTAAATTTTATGGAAACAACGGAATTCCTTTAGTAATGCATAAAGGAAATTTCCCCTTGCATTTGCTAGCGGTAATCGATTTTCAATCAAATTATCACATTTCGAGACAGAGTTTAATAATCTTGACAATTCCTGATGTCAAATGACAACACGTATCTGACTTGTCTGATGCAGAGTAGTTCGTTATTGAATAAACTTAGTAACTAACTTAGCAAGTGCATCACGTTCAATTTATACAATAATAAGGGTCGTATATTTTTGGATTGTCTTTTTAAATTATATACATAATATATAATTTTAATAAAAACTTAATATTATTGTTGATTGTATTAATTATTGTATAAGTTATTGTGTAAATATAGATTTTAAAAGTTTTTTTTCAATATAACATTTTAGTGCACTAAATTTGTTAACGTACGATATACTTACTTTCAAAATAGTGGCAAATCTCTCTGTGTATTATCATTAGGTCACTAGCTTTTAAATTGTAGATATAATTTGCTAACATTCGCAGAGAAACGTCTGAATGTATTAATTGAAATGCTTTTGATTTCTTAAATTTACGCGAACACTACACCCACGCCTGGTATGTCCCACTACTGGGCACAGGCTACCTCTCATTTTTGAGAAGAAGAAAAATTCCGCCACGCTGTCCCAATGCGTGTAGACGAACTTCACATTTCTTCGAAAATATTAATTTTTTTGATAGGATAGAACACTTTAATTAACCTATTTGAATATAACTTTGCAAAAAGCTTGCAAAGTGTAAATTCAATATCAAATAAAGACTGTTGTGAATTCCTCTAATAATTTTATAGTTTAAGGGATATACAATAATACTATATATACTCTATATTAAATATGCACTTGTTAGGATCTCTAACTTGTTTATCTATGAAACCCATAACCTTCAACGTTTGTGTCAAACTGGATTTCTTTTCGTGGGTATACGTATACGTGCGTGGTAGAGCTACAATGCACACATAATAGAAGCATGAAAAGGCACAATGCGTTTTGTTTCGTATAGTGAGTGACGGATACCGGAGACTCTTTTTTGACAGGGCATTCAGTTTTATTCAGGAATGATAATTGAAATAATATGCATCTGCATTTTAGTTCTTAATTTTAAAGGGGCATCAATATCCACTTATCAGTAGGTGGACTTTGTGCTCGTTGGTTGTCAAAAAAATGTTGTTTATAAAAAAAGTTTTAAAAATCCCCGATCCATTTAGCTGGTCTAGGATGCCGAACGTTTGTTTAAAAGGCGCTACAGCTCTGTTACAATAAACATTGTTTTTCTTTTGTTTGTTTATCTCAGATATCCCAGTACGTGTTCGAGGAGACGTTCAACCTGCGTTTCGCTGTACCTTTCACGCAGCACAACGCGACCGTGTCGGGTGCGACTATGGCCGCGCTGTCGCCCGCTCAGATCGCGCACATCAAGCGACTCAACTCGCTCGATCTGGAGCTATATGAGTTCGCTAAGAATTTGATGTTCAAGAGGTTTGTGTGCTTTAAAGTTTTTTTTTTTTTTTTGTAAGGGTGTTTCTTTTTTTTAATTAAATTGTTTTCTAATTTTTATAAAAAAAAAAAAAAAAAAAAAAATAAAAAAAAAAAAAAAAAAAATAAGATATTGGGGGTTTTTTTTTTAAGTTTCTTTTTTTTTTTTCTTGGGGGGGGTGGGGTTTGTTGGGCAAATAGTTTTTGTGTTTATTTATCGTAATCATTCAATAAAACTATATTTACGGATTTTAACGCGTTTAATTTATTTAATTTTAATTTCCGACATTTCGGGTGTTTTACAGCACCTATTCCTTTCTTGTTGCCTCAGCCAGTATCGGAATCCTCGACGTCGACATATCGAGTGACGTGCAGTTTCGTGGTCACTTGGAGGAGAAGGCCTAATTGTCCTCTAAAAAGCTTGGCGTGCTCAGCAGAGCGGGACAGTATTTCATGCCGGCACACCGCCTGCAACGTTACAAGGTGCAGGTTTGGTCGCACATGGAATACTGTTCCCGTCTCTGGGCTGGGGCTCCCGAGTACCCTCTCCTTCCACTTGACCGCATCCAGCGCAGAGCGGCTCGAATCGTCGACGACCGAGTGCTTTCCGATCGGCTCGATTCACTGGCGCTGCGAAGAGATGTTGCATCTCTTTACGTATTTTATCGCGTCTATCACGGGGAGTGGTCTGAGGAATTGTTCGGATTAATCCCAGCCACCAAATTTCATGAACGCACTACGAGGCAAATCTTCCGATACCATCCGCACCATCTGGATGCTTGGCGGTCCACCACTGTACGTTTCACTAGGAGTTTTCTTCACCGTACGACCTCACTATGGAATAATTTACCACCGGCGATTTTTCCGAACCGATACGACCTGGGGACTTCAAGAAAAGAGCTTACTCCTTTCTAAAGGGCTGGCAACGGTTGTCACTTATAATCATGTGTGCCGTATCAGGTGAACCGTATGCTCGTTTGCCCCCTCTTCTATAAAAAAACCCTTTGGTCACGGTAATGACGGGGGGGGGGACTGAGGCAATTAATTTCCCGATGTCAAAGTTCACCCGGAGTATTGTACCGGAGTTAGTTCTGAAACTAAACCAAAATACAATACTTTAGGATATAGCTCATTCTGCGTAGATCGTACAAGTAGTAATAATTAAAAATTGAAAGTACTCCGTGTCAACTTTGACATCGGGACATCAATTACCTCAGTACGTGACCATGAGTGCTGTAATGCACCTGAAATGTCGCCGATGAAATCCGTAATAGTAGTTTAGTTCAATGTGTAGTGTTTGCGTAAATATAAGAAATCATTACAATCGTTCAAGTAAAATTATTCATTCGACAGTAAAATTTTAATAATAAGTTGATAATAGTACGAGGACTTTACCTATGAAATTGCCGTTTTGCCGAAGAAAATTGAAATTGTTTTTCACAAAGTAATTGCCTAATATAACAATACATTCTTGCCATTTAATGAACAGTTTGTTGTTCGCAAAGTCTGGAGAATATAGTGGAAAGGATATAGTAGTGTAATATCGACTACCGCTCTAAACTGCTAATTTTGACAACGTCTACTGTGCAGTATGTGACCGCGGGTGTAATCACGTAAAAACAATGACGAAAAGCAATTCACCAATTTGGGTTCTTTGAGGGCCAGCATCACTACTATCATATGAAATGATTGACAAAACGGTCAACAGATATAACAGAAGATCACCAAATTGTCACCATAAGCTTCTTCTGGCTAATCTTTCGTATTAAGTCGCTGCTTGGCCTGGATCTAACCACTATAAAGAGCATTTGCGATAGTCGTACACCCGTACGATCCATTTTTCATTGCAGTTAACAATTCCACTTAAAATCCCCTCCTTGATTCAGCAATATGATGCAAGTTTGACCGCGGTCCTTCCGCTGTGTCAGTTCGTAAGCGCTCAGCGCAAAGCTTATTTATTTTACCGATTTGCTGTAAATGATCTAACATTGTTATACACACTAATACCAAAAGCCGACGCTAGCGCAGCCGTGGTTTGAGACAGATCCGCTTTCATTATCGCCTACAGGTCATCGTTATCAACTTTCTTCTTTCTGGCGGCCACGAGGTTCATTTGAGGTCGAAATATCCCGAACGAAAGTAATTGAAATAATAATGGCCAGTTCGTTCATTAGTAGTGCTAGATACGTGATTGATATTGCGTACCTACCGTTTGAGACGTATTGCTTGCAGGTCGGAATTCATGTTCAAAAATACACGAGTTAGTTATGGTATATATGATATAGCGATATTGCAAAAATATCCAAAAACAATATAAGAAAGCAATTAGATCTCGGGTTGCAGCTGTTTGGTCTCGCATCCGCGATTCCGGGAACGAGATCCTCAGGGTGTGCTACGAGTGGCCAAAATCCCATACCAAAATATTTGCGTGCCGTGCATTGCGACAATAACTGTAAATGGATAGTACGAACCCCCTTTTGAGGGAAATTTTAGTATAAACTGATGGTTTCAGTTGAATTGTCTTTTATTTATTGTATCCTTATAATTATATTTTCACTTTGTTTTTAACATTTAGTGGTATTTGAAATTAGTGTAAAAATCTGAAATAAATGACTTGTTATAAATGAATAACTGATTTTGAAAAAAGAACAATATTCCTTGATCTAATTTGAATGGCCCCTGTTAAATATGAAATTTATTTATATTTAGAACTCCAAATAAAATCATCTATTACGGTTTGACGTACAAAACGGTAATTTTTATTAGTAAAGACCTATTATTGTTTAATATAAGCTCTGTCAAAAAGCGTCCAGAAATCCTGTATAATACAAAAAAAAATATAAATGGTTAAACTTCTTTTACGTTGCAATTGGTCTATCAATTTGTCAACGACAATCGATGTCGACGTCTATTTGATGCATGTGATTTTGCTTACGCGATGGCATTAGACGCGCCGACAGGCGATCCAGATACAGAAAAAAGGTTCATTACGCAGTTGTGTGAAACTCAAATTATTTCGGTCACGGCGGCCAGTTTTAAATGAGACTTGCCATCTGCACAAGACTGGATTATAGTGTGCACAGGTGCACTCTCTATTCACCTCATCTCATAGTCCGATGGAACGACTAGCCGACACGACCAGAGAGAGATCACGCGACGACCAATGGCTCTACGTGCTTTTCAAGACACGCGAGTTCATCACCGCTTACTTTCTGAATTCGGGCTGCTAGTGAAAATTTCTTTACAAAAAACCTAATAATTGATTTTGGCCCGACCCTGGATTTGAACCTGGGATGATTCGCGTTTACGACCACTAGAACAACGATACAAAAATAACACGCAAATTATTGCTTATTCTGTGTCCGTCTGAAAAAAAAGGTTGTAACATGTGAACGGAGTAGAAGCCTATGGCACTGATATCTTACAAAAAATAAAAACGAAAATTTTGAGTTACGGATATAAAAAAATTATACTTTTTAAATCAACGTATATGTGGATAATCTCATAATGTTATTAACATTTTTTCTGTTTCTTATTTATTTGACAAAAAGAACTTATGGATGCTATTTATGTATATTTAATAATAAAGGAAATTCCTTTACAGATTCGAAGCTTTAAAAAAGCGGGACTCGGACTTCGATTTCCGATGGAAACACCTGGGGGAAGTTTCTCCTCGTAGCGGCGTTACAGAATTCGATTGGGACAGCAACTTAGAAGATGCGACTACTGAGAAATATCGAGGGAAGTAACAACGTTAATTACATCACTTAAATATGTCAAATTTTTTTACGTAGTAATAGTGGAAGCAAATTCAAAAATCCCTAAATGTCGCAATAATTTACACTGGTTTCATGAAAAAAATTCAACAACTGCAAATGCTAGTCACTTATATAGGTTGTTTGGCGCATGAACCGACAGGATTTTGGTGGTGGGATGGGGGAGGGGTTCATCACAAACAAAAAGCTAAGACGATTTAAAAGCAAGATTTTCAAAGAAACCTATCAGCTACAAAGACACTTAGGACATAGGGTCTACCGGGGAAATGTAGCGTATGACCCCTCCAACCCCCCTAAAAATCCTGTCTGTCCATACGCCAAACAACCTGTATATCATGCGGTCATTACTTTATGCGATCAGTTCTCACTCGGAAGGTTTGTTTTGTGATGTTTTAATCATGTACTTCAAAAGTGACGTTTTGAATGTGAATTTTAAGCGGTTGCATGTTTTTTAAACGCATTGAATTTTGTGAAATTTGGACTTGTATATGTGTAAAATTGTGAATCGGTTCCATGGCGGCTAGTAGTGTAATGTGTTGTAGGTATCATGCATTTTGTGTGTACACATTATAAAAATAATGACAGCTTTACAACTGTCCTTGTTCATATATTGATAGTCATAGTCTTTAACAATAACGTGTTCCTCCGAATGTTTGTCATGGATAAGTACGTATGTATCATTTAAGTATTGATAATTTCATTCCAGTTTCATTTAAAACAACAAGAGCATTAATTTATAAATATATATTTTATTTCGTAAAAACGTGCATTTATATTATTTTTCGATATAATCTGTGGAATTAGAACAGTAAATCATAAAACCGATTAACGTCCTCTCGACACAAGCTGTCAAACCTTGTTGAAATATATTTTCCGCTATTTCCTCTTTGATAAAATCTTCATAAGTTTTACACACTCTCGTAACAATTTTGGAATTGCCCTTGTTGTGTTTTTGGATTTGTTTGTTAGTGCAAAAATATTAAAAGCTTCTTTAAATCTATATGCTATGAAGTTATTTCGTTTTATTTATGCTATGAGGCGTACTGACACAAATAATTTTTAAATTCTGTATCATAATTGTAGCCGTAGAGGTATTGATTAAACGTAAGAATTTCTTCACAAGTTTTTTATAGGTTTTAACAGGAACTCGACCAGACAGAGGTGAACGCGCTAAAGCGGATTAAATAACATTTTTTTTGTTTAACATCGGCACACTCATCGTTGCATTTATTTTTTCATAGACGCATGCATTTATTGCACAAAATTGCACCACATCTAAGTAACAAAATCAACTTTATACAAATATTGATATTATATAAAATATCAGTGTGCCTTTGATCATAATATCTCGCATAAGCCCCCTTTGCATTAGAGTTCTAATTCCACAGATAATGAAGTTAATTACCTACTTAGAATAGAATAGAAAAACGGCAGCCCACTTTTGTAATATGTTGTCAATATTAAGCTTACATTTTATCGAAAAGTTGTGCTATTAATCCATCCCTTTAAATAGAAGGATCGTTATAGACATAGATTACAATGTAATAATAATTATTTTATATATTGTATGCAAGTTGATGTCTATATAGTAGTATATAATAGTCACAGGGTAGGTTTATGCGTTCAAAGTAATCAACAACGAGTTGAAACCGTTGAAGTAGTGGACAATGGATATGTTTTATTTAGCGAGTTACGCGATTTTAAATTTTCTTGTTTTGGTATTCGGAATTGTCGTATTATGAATGAAAAAAGTATCGGTCTAATGAAAATATTAAAGAAATAAAAATTTGGAAAATTCAAAAGTGCACACCCCAAACGCTCATGTAACATTTTAAATAGATTACAGAAGTGATAATCGAATGGAACTAGCTCTACGTGATTATGAGGATAGTGAAAAAGAAAAACAAGTCGTTTTGATAAGTTCTCGAGATATCTTGTACATAGAGATTTTATGAACCACAGACATCCACCACATTTAAAAATAATAATTCGTGTTGTTGAATTAAAAAAAATATCAGACTTGTTCATTAGTGTTTCGTCTTTCTGAGCATGTGCTTTTACATTAGCGCGATGTAAAATAATAAACTCGACTTAATGTCAGTAAAACGAATGATTTGAAAATTCGACAGTAGAGCCCAACGTCTCCGCTTCGCGTTCGAGGTTGCAATTATATATTATTATCGTGTAGGCAAAGACTCATAGTACTTTTTAAATGGTGCTTACTTTTATAACTTTAATACAATCATTACATTGATCTTTAGTCTTGAGTCAGTCAAAGTAAAACAATTCAATAATTTATAATGATGTGCTAAAAAGCATTTTCAAAACCTATTCCGTTACTCGTTAACTAAGTACTCTATTTTAATAAACATACATGCAACTTGTATTATTCTTTGTAAATACTCGTAGCTTTAGACATAATATCTACTGTAAAGTATTTTAATAAAGAGGAAATAAATGAATCATTGTTAAGATATTGTATTGTAAGCTTTATGTTTTCTATGTAAAAGTTGTCAAAAATAACTATTATTGATTAACCTTTATTTGATTTTATGTAACCAAAGAACAAATTTTAATATTTTTTGAAATTGGATAGTCTCATTAGAACAAGTCATATTTTTATCTATTAATAGATTAATTTGCTGATCGAAATATTCATCATTTCACGCTTTTTCACTAGCTGATATGACTTCTTGGATTGGGGTTATATTGTGTTCGTACTTTAGTAATTTGCTGCATCGATTTGATGGAGGGATAAAGACGAATGTAGAAGAAGTAGTGTGAAAAATACATGTTTGGTTTTAATTATTACTTTAAATTACCTATTATTTTAAATTAAAATATACAAATAATTTTTCGCACTCACGTTATGCATGACGTTGTAAACTTGATCAAGTTGGCAGAATGGAAATTCGATTTTTGCTTCAAAGAGACATCATGCAAACGAACAGCCATTTCCGGTCAAGCTCACTGAATCAAACGTCAAACTGGATGGTAAACTTGATCGTGAATAGCGGACATAAGGTGTTTATTTGACTACATGTCGTCATTGATTAGTATTTCCTACAATTGTTAAAGAAGTTTCATTTCGACAGCTAATAAAAATGTCAACTAGCCAACTAGAACATTCTAAGATAAAGAATTCTATCTTTGAGAATAATGGTATTAAATAATATTGTATACGTTCATTTAAGATGTTTGACGTTAGGTAGCTATTGAAAAGAAAAAATGTTATTTTGATTTTATATCTGTTAAATAATTAGATAAGTTTTAATCTGAAAAATTATTGTTGAAACTACTTAAATCCAGAAACTGACTAACGGAATCAAAAGCATAAAACGTTACGATCTAAATAACTATTATTTAAAAAATTAATGAAACAGTGGTTATAAGTAGGTACGTTAACTGTTTTTATTATATAAAACGTTAAATAAAAGTAAATTACTTTTCCTAATTTGTTTTTTTTTTAATTTTTAAAAATGTTTTTTTTTATTTACTTTAAAAATATTTTCTTAGAATTGTGTTTATTGACAACTTCACTCTTCAAACGTTAACTTCCACGACAACCGTGTAACTCGCCGCCAATTCAGGATTATTATTTTAAGGGGAAAACAAATATATAACAACATAAAATATTTAAATAAAACTAGTTTTCATGGATTTTATCGCGTATATGTCTTTGCTTTTTTCGCGGGACGGGGAGTCCCCCCCGTGACCATGGTAACGTGCTCCTAACGTCGGGAATATAAAATAGGTTGATTTACGCGATAAAGTCCTTAAAAGCTAGTTTTATTTAAATCGTGTTGTGTTCGCCTAAATATAAGAAATCATTAACTTAAATTTATATTAATTACAAAGACTTTTATTTTCGGCGCTTTCGGCTTGTTCGGCATATACGGCGCTGACAAGAAGAGCGATTGTGCGCGCGTAATAAATTATAGCTTTTTAAGTACCTACTTTTATTGGCTTTAAATAAGATATAATTAGTTGATGACAAAGAAAAACATAGAGAGAGAAACTTATGCAAAATAGTTTAACAAGAATAACCTATCTGCCTTTTGACGATTGCTCGTAAAAGCGAGAAAGAAAAATAAACAATGATAGGAAAACTCCATTGTTTATGTAAACCAAATCAAGAGAACGTTGTCATTAATTTGACGAAACAAGCTGAATGATGTAGTGCATAATGACAAACAAACAAAACCTCAGAAAAATTGTACTATGACGGTTTTTGTCGGTGACGCTACGTCCTGTGATAGAGTATGTTCTTTAAACTCATGTGTGAATTGATTATTTTTAAAATGAAATAATTACTTTTTGTAAATAATGTATAGATTGTATAAATGGTACCTAAATATATGAAGTACGAAGATAGGTAAGAGTGTATCAGCCACAAAAATTAGCCATTTAGTATTTTGGAATTGTGTTGTGGTGTCATGATTATAATATTATAAGTTACATTTAAGTACATATTGTTTGTGTTGTATGGCAGCGTTGTCTAGTACCAAAACTTAGTTTAGTTTTTTTAAGTTTCCGACTGAACCAAATTTTAGTAGCTATGTGTTGTGTTGACACCGATAAATAAAGTGAATGAATATTATTTCTTATTTTTATTTCACACCCTAAATTATGGATGGTCAAGTGAAAAAATATGATGATATATATCGAATCGATATTTTTAAACAGTATCAATATATATCGATATATCGTTATGTTTTACATGATGTGTTAGGACAAGGCCCAAAATGGTAATACTGGACGGTTAGATGACGTAAAAAAAACGACAACAACACTTGAATGCTTTTGTAGCTAATTTTGTTGCTTAATGTTTTGTCGATTAATAGAACATTTTAAAATGTATTGAAATTGATAGGAATTCGATACTTCATACTAAATATCGATATATCAAGATTCAATAACTTCAACGATATATATCGATGTTTTATGAGAAAATATCGATATACTGATATTTT